TTTAAAAAAAAGCAAATAGGTCAGCCAGTAAGGGCTAGTCATCACATTTCCAGTAGCCTACGTGATGTATGAATGCTCCATGCTGTTACCTCTCTGTTACTTGTGAGGGGAAAAAAAACCCCCAACACTTACACAGGCAAAGCAAAAATGCTGTTTTGACAATACTAACTTCAGATTAACAGTTCTGATATGCTGTGCTACTGTAGAAGGTCCATACTATTTTGTGTGAAAAACACTTTCCCCAAGCCTTTTAAGACCTCAGAAGACTTTTTAAATGCAGGAACAGATACAATTTCCTACAGTCATTATGGTAAGCCTGAAAATAGACTTTAGTAATACTAGGGACTGGCTAGAATACCACACAGTTAAAAAAAGCCACCTATTGTAGGGTAGGGTTTTCTTTTTTTTTTTTTTTTTTTTTTTTTTTAATCTTATGTATTACTTTGTTATATTCCCTTTCTAAAGAGCTTCTTGGATGAAAATCTAGGTGTACTCTGAAAAAGCCACTATTTTAGACCCAGATATAAACACCACAGATACTTTATATCATTCAGCCGTGATCCTCTACTGCAGTTTGAGATGTTTCAGTATTTAAGTAAATGTTTGATAAGAAATGTAAGATGACATGCTGGTGTTTTTTGTGTTTTTTTTTTTTTTTTTTTTTTATGCAAAGGATAAAGTTTTTTTGATCTTTTAATCTAAAATGCTGAAGGCAGAGTATCAAACCCTCAGCCAGTTTGTCATAAAAGGGGTTTTAAGAAAGACCTCACAGCCTCCAAAAGTCAAGACAAGACCAGTGCCTGGCCTTTACCCTATGCCCCCACGTATTGCCTCTGAGATGGTATAATTGCAACTGAGCAGGAAAGTTTTTTACTGTGCAGTGGAATAACATAGGAGGAAAGACCTCTGAAGTCTCTCAAGTACTACTGAAGAGGGTTCCAAATCCTGCTATCTCCATTCTTGTGGATTCCAGGTCCAATTAAGCAAAGATCAAATTCTGTTATCAGACTTGTTCTCCTCCGGAGTAGAGAACTAGTGTATTAAGGTGTCCCTCTTAATACAATAGGCATCTTTCTTTCATTGATCATTTATCCTCAGACAGGCAGCTTGAATCTTCATATAAAAACTTGACAGTCTTGAGCACGGAATACTCCAAAGTAAAGCAAGAGCTTCACATACCCAAAAATGTCTAACCCCATTATTAAGATCAATTTGATCAACCTGTTATACCCACCAAGATGATCTACCTGAAGCAGACTTAAGATGAATTTACATATAGTCATATCTGTCTTAAGGCTCTAGATATAACACAGGAATATGAGGCTGTGTCAAAAGTATTTGCAGCCACAGGCTTCGAAACATGCATTTTAGAGCCACTTACAGCAATGCCAGCCTTCACAGAACCTCTCATTGAGAGACACTGCTTTTTAATCTGAAGGGAAGCTTGTGGTTACCAGCTTCATAAGTTAAGCTTCTTAACAAGCCATCACTGAATTCAGCGATACACCAGGCTTGCACCCATACCATCAGAAGCGTCACAAGTCTAAAATCAAGAACTCTTGTTTCAGAGATGCAGGTAGCCTCACAGAAATGCCTGAGACAGTGGGATTCTCTACAAACTTCAATGAGTTACTCTAAGCATCCAATTCTAAAATGAGTTTCCCTGGTTTGATCTAAGTAGGCACATATAGTACTGAGCACTCTCTACATATTCTATCAATAGATTACAGGCCCTACAACAGTTCCAGATGAGCAAAGTTTTTGTTGTTGTTTAAAAAAAACCAAAAGCCAAAATCCTGTATTTCCCCCCGCTCCCGCTTCCAGTTTTCTACAGGATTTAATAGTGGAAAGGCTAAGATAACAGCACAGTTGGGGCATGTATCATCGCAGGAACAAACACCACTGTATTATGGGAGGAGGCAGGTAACTACACTCGCATAACAGTGTTAAAAGTGCTGCTACGCAACATAAAGCTGAAGTTTAAATGTACTCAAAGGCAGAGTCTCATTACTGGATAGTTCCCGTACTAAACACAGTCACTGTCCACACAACTGTCCCTTGAAAAAGGGGAGAAGATAGAAACAGTACAAATTAAATGAGGATTATGAATAGAAAGTTAAGAGGAACAGAGACTAAGCCGTAAGCAATTAAGTATGAAAGGGAGCAAGCTTCCCCAATAGTTTTGGCTATGCTTTTTTCCTATAAATATTAAAACACAGTGAGCTTGATTTATTCCTGCTTGTTTTCCCAGCCCTTTAACATATTAAGATAACACCAGGATCTTGATGGTTATAGTCATGCAGTATACAGGACAGGAATTCAAGTTTTAGGCAGCCTCAAAACTTTAAGTCAAGATCATTAGCTGAACCCATGGAAGCCATGTACCAGCTCCAGCTGCTACAAGTCTGAACAAAGGGGGTCAGTACGTGTATGGATAGGTGTGTTAAGACCATGAAAATACTAAATAGATCATCTTAGAGAATTAAATCTCAATTTTTAGAGTTGCTTTAATACAACTTAAGCATCCAGCTTTGTTCTTTAGCAACAATTAAAGAGTTCATCAGTGAGAAGGCTGTGCCTTTTAATTTCATCAAGTTTTCAGAAGCTTGTTCCCTCCCCTGTTCAAGCCTATATGGGTAGTCTAGAGAGGAAAGAATAAAGGAGGAACCAAAACAATCATGTCTGGTAGCACTAGGATGTTCAGTGTCCAGCTCAGAATTCTTTAGTTTGAAATATGTATGAAGTCTCTACATGGAATGCAGCTTCCAGGGAACCTGTGTCCTTGTAATAATTACAAGTTTGTTCCATGGTGAAAGCCTGTTTGACATTGCTTTACTGTCAGATCCTTGTCACCAAGAGCTGGAGATGGTAACTCAAAATACACACAAAGTGCCCTGGGAAGAGACCTCCATGAAGCTTCAGCAGAAGACAGCGTAAAGGCCAGTGAAGTTTGACAGATTGGAGCATCGGTTCTCTCAGACTTCCCAGGAGACTGGGTTACTGATCCCTACTACTAAATTCAGAAAGCTAATTTCTTAAATCAAAAAGTCATTTGCTTTATATATTTTAACACAGAACAAGAACCAAGCATCCATTTAACTTTTTTTTTTTTTAAAAAGCAGCAAATCGAAAGAGGAAAAGAAAGAGCAAGGGCAAACTGCACTCCCTCCATTACTCTGCAAACTGATTAATGTCCAAGTGTTCAGCATTTTATTTCTTTAAACCAGGTTTATATACATTTTTAACTTTGCACCCCTGATATCAGTTACAGTTTTTATTATGACAATACATACTTTGTTCTTGACTTATGGATATTGAATCAGCAGTTCTCTCACTGGCCTTGTTTTGAAGTTTATTTGATTTGTCTAGATGTATTGTTTTCTCAGCTTGTTTACTCCAATCAGCACTGTCAACCTGGGAAGTTGTGTTGGATACCTAGAAGAGAAGTTAGACTTCAAAATATGTTCTGAAGTGCTAAACATGTGGATTCTTATTGTACAGCAGCAGGATTAAAGATTTAGAAGCTCAGAGCAGTAAAATTGTTGCAGCTCTAGCTTCTGTAAGCACCAGGAAAGAATTAGATTTCATTCATATTATGGTAGTCAAAGTAAGTTCTTACATTAACACTTTCGATTTAGAACATGAACTGCTCAGAGATCCCAAGTAATGGAATGGGTGGAATATGAGAAACTGATACAAGCTCTTTAACCCTTAACATGGTACAACATACTAGAAGTTGGCTTTTACTGTTGTAAAGCCAGTTGCTCCACTCTAGCTTATGGATCAGGGCGAAGCGCAGCTGTATTACTTCAGTTCAGTGGTAGTTTTTCTCTGTGCAAGGTTGTGTAGCAATCCCCTTGAACTGCCGAAGGTGTTACACAAACCTGAGTCTCCTAATATATACTACTTGCTGCCTTCGGGTAGTGGACACAAATGGGGAAGAAAGCCACTTGCCCTTTCCTTTCTTGCAGGACACATTCTTGTGCTCATAGACTCAAGAGGCAGTTTCTATCCATTTCAGAAAAATAAAAGCTATCAAAACCTGGCTAAAGCAGCTATGTTTGAAACCATGTTGAGAAAGATAGTTAAACATCTTAAGATGGAACAGGTCATGCTGCTGCAGTAACATCAATAACTTCCTTTGTAACACAGAGGCCCTTCTAACCAGGATACTCTCCAAGAACATATTAAGACAGAAATCAACAGCAGCTACATATTTCACAACCTCATCTATGACCTTGAAAGCCCCAGTTTCCATGGCTTGAGGAACAGGAAGAAAAAGCAACACACTTTTCCAAGATAGCCTCTAGAGTTTTCAGAGTACTACTGAGCTTATAAGATTGATATTTCTAGAAAACAGGAACATATAGTATAAGCTGCCCATCTCTTTTGTGAAACTACAGGTTTACAGGGCAGACTTTTAACCTGTAAGCATGCAAGGGTTACTTAAGTTTAAGCTATAGCACTGAAAAGAAAAAATAAGCTTTATAGTACATTATAAACTTGATATATCGATCAGCCAAACTGTTTCCTTTTGTGTTGCAGGCAACAAATTAATGCCCTATTAAAGGATAAGAATCACTTTGTTAGTGGGGTTTTGGTTAACTTTTGTTGTAAACCTTAAGTGGCCCTCATTGCCTCAAATTCAAGCCTGGAATATTACATTAGATCTTACGTAAAGGAGTAAGAACATGCTTTAAAGAAGTTATTTGAAATGAATGCATTGGAGAGAAGCATGTATTC